TTTTTTTTGTTTGCGGTTTTACAGCCGGCTGCTGGTTTGTTATGCTGATGGTCACAATGCATTATGGGTAATGTAGTGTGAAGCAGGGGAAAATGTGTTTATCTGAGCATCTTTTTGGCTTGAAAATAACTGTATTGCATCAGTTTTTATTTGTTTTGTTAAAAAAATAAAAAATTGAATTCATAAAAATACTGGATTTTAGCAGGAAGAAAACCCAGATTTCACCCTTTTCATGTTTCAGTAAAATCTACTTTAATACACTTTGAAACAAGAGTACAACAAAATAGAATATACTTCAAATGTTGAATATACAAACAGTTCAGTCTGAACACAGACAATCTTCCCTCTTTTCAGACAAAATAAAATAAAGAAATGTTTAAGCTCCAGGTAGAGTGACCAGGGCCCCCGGTGGTGAAGCCTCCACAGCTCCTCCCCCTCAGCGTGTCACTTCCTGTTGACCTTTGTTTACGTTCCTATTTCTTTCCTGGTGGACGTCGTCCCCAAAACTAAAAAAAAAAAAAATAAGAAGGGGGTGGTCTGTGGGGTAAAACTGGCTTTGGGTAATACTGTGCTTGGTACGGAGTATCAAAACACGACGCTCTGCTTACGCTTCAGACTCTGGAAGCTTAAAAACCTAAAGCTGCTCCGTAAACTAGCGGATATGTACAGTCACACCTCCTCCCTCCGCACAGTGATCAAGTCTGTCTTAGAAAAAGTTGCTGGTTTTTCCGACGGCCCCTGAAGGAGCCGCGTGGGGCCGCTTCCTGTAGTGTTGCCTGTAGTGGCGGCGCTTGGTCCCCCCTCTGCTCCTCAAAGCTCCTCAGTTCCAGGAGGAGGCTCCTCACAGTTTCGGGAGGAGGTCGTTCCAGCTCCCCTCAGTTCCAGGAGGAGCCTCCTCCCAGTTCCCCTCTGCTCCACTCAGCTCCTCCCAGCTCCAGGAGGCTCCTCCCCTCTCATATCTGCTCCTCCCAGCTCTAAGAAGAAGCTCCTCCCCCATCAGCTCCTCCAAGCTCCCCTCAGCTCCTCAGTTCCAGGAGGAGGCTCCTCACAGTTTCGGGAGGAGCCTCCTGAAACTGGCTCCAGGAGGAAGCTCCTCCCCTCTCCTTTCTGCTCCTCCCCTCTGAGCTCCTCAGTTCCAGGAGGAGCCTCCACCCAGTTCCCCTCTGCTCCTCCCAGCTCTAAGAAGAAGCTCCTCCCCCATCAGCTCCTTCCAGCTCCCCTCAGCTCCAGGAGGAGGCTCCTCTCTAGTCCTCCCCCTTCTGCTCCTCCCAAAGCCTGTGAGCTCCCATCAGCTCCAAAAAGAGGCTCCTCCCCCCTAAGCTCCTCCCAACTCCACGAGTCCTCAGTCTCAGTCGTTGGAAGGAAAAGTCAAACTGGACTCAGAGTGTCTGGGTGGGCGGCGTTCAGCACTCCGGCTCCTCCGTTTTCACGCCGTCCGACTCCGGCTTTCCCTCGCCGTCCGATTGGCCGAGCTGCTGCTGGGCGGCGGCGGCTCCTCCTCCTCCAATCAGCAGCTCCGAGCCGCTGAGGACGCCGCTGATGATGCGCGGCGTGGTCAGCAGCGTGCGGCCGCCCGCCGTCACCGTGACTACGCCGCCGCCGCCGCCCGGCTGCGACACCACCACGGTCTGCGGCTGCGTCGCCGTGGGAACGCTGAGACGCATCACCTGCGTGCCCGGGGCCACGCCCACGGGCGCCAGGGCGCGCACCGTGAGCGGCGCCCCCAGCAGGCTGAGGCCCGGCGGCGCCGTTGCCGTGGCGCCCGGCTTGGCGGCGCCCGGAGAGCCGGTCAGCTGGCACTGCGCCAGCTGGTGCGCCGGGATGGTGATGATCTTGGCGAGCTGCACCGTGATCTTCTCGCCGTTCTCGGCGGTGGCGGGCACCATGGCGGGGATGGTCTGGATCACCACCTTCTGCTGCTGGCCGCCGCCCGCCGCCGCCGGGCCGGACAAGATGGCGGCGTGGCCGGCGACGCCCCCGGCGCCCGGCGGCTGCTGCACGGCGACCGTGGAGATCTTCTGACCCAGCGACGTCATGACGACGGGCACCTGCATGGCCACCCGCAGCGTCCTGAGGAGGCAGGGCACAGGGTCAGCGTTTCCATGGAAACCAGCGGTTTGCATCACTTAACTGTACTGAACTAAACTGGTCTAGACTGAACTGGACTGGACTAAAGTGGTCTTAACTGGACTGAACTAGATTAAACTGGACTGGACTAAACTGAAGCGAACTGGACTGAACTGGTCTGAACAAGACTTAACTGGTCTTAACTCGACTGGACTGGACAAAAGTGGTCTTAACTGGACTGAACTAGATTAAACTGGACTGGACTAAACTGAAGCGAACTGGTCTGAACAAGACAGAACTGGTCTTATCTGAACTAAACTGAACTGGTCTTAACTTGACTGGACTGGTCTTAACTAGACTAAACTGGACTGGACTAAACTGGTCTTAACTAGACTAAACTGAACTGGACTAAACTGGTCTTAACTGAACTGGACTGGACTAAAGTGGTGTTAACTAGACTGAACTGAACTGGTCTTAACTAGACAAAACTGGTCTTATCTGAACTAAACTGAACCTAACTGGTCTTAACTGGACTCTGAGGTGGGCGGGTGCTGACCTGGGTCCGGGTGACATCACGTGTTGCTGCTGGCTCTGGTTGCCGTCGGGCGCCGTGGAGACGGCCACTATCCGGGGCGCGGCGCCGGGCGCGGGCGTGGCTCCGCCCCCCCGGGGGGGCGTCTGCACCACGCTGGCCCGGCCCGCCCCCCGCAGGATGTTGGGCTTCTTGGGGGACGGCAGCTCGGCGGCGTGCAGCAGCAGGTCCGGCGGCGGCGGCACGCGCTCGAAGGAGAGCGCCGCCTCCGAGCCAATCAGGTCGCCCGGGGCGACGGGGGGGGCGTCGGCCTTGTCGTCGTCGATGATGACGATGTTCTTGGGCATCTCCTTGAACTGGTACACCAGCCGCTG